TATATAATATTCTGTAACTCTGTAACTTCGGTCGTTGCTGTGCTTTTTTGGAAATCGAATTTCCCAGAGGAACCCACCCGAGGGATTAATAAAGTTCTATCTTATCTTATCTTAATCCCAAACAGTGACATATCATTACTTTATGTAAACACAACATATATTTTCATTTTTATTAATCATGAAAAGATGACTTACGTAATGAATCTATGAAATATAAAACAAACATGAACTTAATCGGAAATAAAAATATAAAGCAGACGTCTGGCGCCTACATAATGCACACAGGACAAGTGACTAAGACGTATGAACTTGGGAGAACTAAACAGGAACATTACTGGGGAAACACAGAGGTCAATAAACATGGAGGCAAAACTGACTTCCACAGGAGATGCTGACACAAGACACAAAGACAAAACTAGGAGACAAAAGGGAAGGGACATCATTATCTATTTTCTAAAACTTACGAAGACTGAGGTGCGGCTGAAGGGTAAAATGCATTCACATTCGTTTCAGTGCTACTAAAACGATCAGTGTGGCCATTTTCCCAGGTATTATAATACAGATTAGCATCAACATGTATGATATCCATCTAAGATTATTTGTGAGGTTTCATTGAATTAAAAGTTACTAGCAAGTTGTTAAGTTTGTTCCTATCTAAAGATGATATAACATGTTGTGACTGAAAGATTTATAAAGATAAGTGAAAAAAAATGTAAACTGGAAAAGTTGGCAGAGACAAATGCCATGGCAGGAAGATGACACTGAAAATGGACCAAACATCTGCTAAAAGAGCATCTCAGGTGATCTATCTATGACAAGAGGTCACATGTTTCTTTGGTGTGGTTTGAAATGCTCAGTGTAAAAAAGTTTGGACCCTAAGCCTCATGTCCTCTTTAAAATCTAAATTTTAATAGAAGCTATAAGAGGTCCTGGATAGAATCCAATGTCTATATTTTTTTACCTAAAATGTTACATGTTAAACTGAAAAACCGTAACTACCCAACTTTGTGGCTTAATGCCTTCACATCTGGAACTGGTGCATCCTAACGTGCATGACCTGAAATCATTTTACGTGAGAAAAAAAACACCACATAACTGACAGTTTGTTTATCAGTTTTGGGACTGGTACAACAAATACTAAGTCAGTTCCTGAGAACTCACAGTTTTTTTTGTGCCAGATATTCTCATCCATTTTAGAGCTCCTGGATTAAAGTAGTGTTTCTTTAGAATTATGTGAAGTTTCGGTAACACCCAGATTGTCTCTTTCACACTGTTTTCCTGGCTGTGTTCCACTGCTCTTTCAAACATGCAGGAACATGGATTTTTCCTCTAAATACCAAATACACAAAAACACACACACACACACACGACACGGACATGACACCCCCACAAAAACTGTATATAAAGAGATACATCAAGTGTTGATTTTTCATACCCACGGAGCAGAGCTTCAAAGTACCATCTTGGTCTCACTAGCAAAGGTAAGATCTTCTTTCGAAAAAGGAGCTTAGAAGGCAAGGGTTAATTTTCAATCATTCAAAACAAGTGCAATTAATAATTTATTAATTATTTCTTACAGTATATTTTCTGCCATTATCATTTTTATTTTATCAGTACTGTGAATAGTTATTAAAATTCTCTTCTCATCAGGAATTTTGTACTTTCAAGAGTGAAAATGGGCGATTACGAAGTGGTCTTGTTCACTGGAGATCTAGCATGTGCTGGTACTCACAATAAAGTCTTCATTAAGCTTGTCGGCACAGCAGGGACGAGTGAATTCACAAAATTCAAATCAGTCTTCCAGAGAGGACAAGTAAGCCTGAAATATCTTTTTCCATGTTTAACCCCCAAATAACAAAGTTATTTTTGTGACTAATATGAGCTAGTGACCCCATTATATTTTCTATGCCATTTTTGAATGGTTGTATTTGTGTTTTTTACACGTGTACTGTTTAATTGATGACATGAATTCAGAATATTATGACAGACATTTTGAAATTTTCTAATTTCAATACTTACAGTTTTACCATTCTCATGCAAAGAAAGAGTTTGAAAAGACAAACTGTATAAACAAAATGCTCTCAGGAGCAAGCATTTCTAAGTAATGTTTTTCAGTAGTAATCATAATTTGTATCTGCCATAAGTATTTGGTGTAGAAAAAGCAAAAAGGTCCCATGAATAGAAAATTTTGAAAGACATGGCAATCATTGTATTTTAAAACAAACTATGATCATTAATACATATTTTAATATAATCAAATAATAATAATAATAATAATAATAATAATAATAATAATAATAATAATAATAATAATAATAATAATATATGAAAACTCATGCGTCAAACTTGGGTCTCTGGCATGAAAAACATTGATTTGCTCCTCCACCAATTTTTTTTTAATTTTCAAGGGCTGCTTTTCTTGCTTTTTATAAGTAGACATGAATCAATACTCATGAGAGCTAACTGATTTAAAGTCTTGGTCATAGACATGCAAAAAATACAATAAACACAAATCAAATGTATGCTCAGCAACACAAATCAATAGATTAAAGTAAATTATAACTTTTTCACAAACTGCCAGGAGACTGGATTGGAGGATGCAGCCTAGGATTGTTTTGTTTTGTTTAGTTTTTTATGATGATCTTGATCTCCTGTAGATTTTTCAGAGACATTCTATCATTAATATTATATATATTAATGTAATAATAATGTAATAATTATATATATATTATTATATTAATATTCCAGAAAACACCGACAACTGTGTTCTGCCCAACCCTCCTTGGAGATCTGGTGCTCATAGAGCTAAAGAAACAGGATTTGTTTGTCCAACGCTCATGGTATCCTGCCAAGGTGGAAGTCACTTCCCCTGAGGATAAGACCTACAGCTTTCCAATTTATCACTGGATCACTGACAGCAAGGTGCACTACTTTAGAGAGGGGACAGGTTTGTAGACATGTTTGTCTGACATCATGTATGTATTTCAAGATATAAAATGATAACACAAAACTATAATTAGGATGGAGCAAATTCCAACCAATACAGTATTTGAAATGAGTTTGAACATGCCATTTTTCTGTCATCTTTTAAGCAAAAATCGATGATGGTAACCCTCTTCCTGGTGGGTACAGTCGGCAGCAGGACCTGGAGTGGGAACAGAGTGTGTATCGGTAAGAAGTTCACGGTTTTGTTATAACATTTCTTTACTCAAAGAATAAGGAAACCCAAAATACTCTCCCACAAATGCCAGGATTTAGTAACCTGTTAAATATGCGCTATGCAATTTTTTGGACCGTTATTTTATTATTAGCTTCTGAACAGGTTGTACTTCAACTTGAAAAGAGAACCCTTTCCCTATTCTCTCACAGCCTGTTGAGTGATTTCTAAATACTTTAGATGAATTTTCACAAATATCAAAATGATGTGACATTTATTCTTCAAGAACCAGAGTGGCTTTGTTTGTTTTCAGATTCAAAATGATATACTCTATTTATCACTATTTTAACAAACCTTTGCTTGCTTTCTACCTCCAGGTAAATGGTGCAGATCACATGAGAGTCATTTTTCTGAATTTTTTCTGAATGTTGATCTGAGCACCTCTAAAATTTTAATTATATTTATGTTTCTATGCTCTACTCAGATTGCAGATGCATAAGTAATCTAGACTCACTAAGTCCCTTACCCCTGTTATTTTCTGTCTTAGCTGGGATATATATAAAGAGGAAATTCCCCATTGCATTAGGACAGACACTTCACTGCCCTATGATGTCTGCTTCTCTTTAACCAAGAATACAGAGTTGGCCTACAATTACATGAGAGGGTAAAGATATTTTTCATTCATTTTTTTCATTATTGACATGATTAAGAATGCATCTGAAAAAAGTTACTGTACCTTTGTTTTCTAGACCAGTAGAGCTGGAACTTGCAGAACTACTTGAGTGTAAGAAAAGATTTACTTCTAGGGATGATATACGTCGTCTTTTTTACGCCCATCACACTAAGATATCAGGTAAAGAACTCTCATTGTTGTAAGTTCAGAATTTTTTTTAGTGCATGTCCAAAAGCTTTCAAATCCCGATATGACATTGCCTTTCCAGTCTATCTACTGATAGACTTTCCAGTCTATCAGTAGATCACAGAATTTACTACAAATTTTTTCCAAGATTTTACTTAGTGTTGAATTGTTTATTGGTCAGCGGTAACTTTATTGTCCCCAATGGGAAAACGATTTGCAGTATGTCCATACACAGAAACAAAACAAACAAACAAACAAAAAAAGCCAGAGAGAACAGCCCAAACTTTATCATCAACAAAGTGCAATGTGCAGTACTGATGGCAGCCATCATAATAGCAGCAGGTACAAAAGACACTCTACGTCTATTGGGCTTCACTGCAGGCACTTTATTACCAACGACCAGAGGGAAGCAGCTGAAAATCACTAAAGAGTGGTTTCCCACTTATATGGAAAGTTTCCATTATTTCACCTAAAGAAACAAAAAAGAAATGAAATAAATAATCATAAGTAGATTTTCTGCAAATGTAAAAATTGTGTACCAGTTTTCAGTAAGCATATTTTCCTTTTTGTGTGAGCCCACAGTAAAATAATATGTTATTTTTACAGATTATGTCATTCAACACTGGACGGATGATTTTTTCTTTGGCTACCAATTTCTGAATGGCGTAAACCCCCTGATGATCCAATGTTGTGTAGAACTGCCCAAGAACTTTCCTGTTGCTGATGAAATTGTCTTCCCTGATGGTCAGAATAAATTGACAGATGAAATGGAGGTAACTGTGTGATTCTCCTGAAATAAAGCAGACTAAGTGTATCATGTATCTGGCTTGTCTTACCTGCATGGATGGCCATGTGATTGTATTAACATGTTAATGTTAAAATTTTCACATAAACACATAAACACTCACACATGTGTGAGGCCAAACAATTTATTTTGTTTATAAAATTTCAAACAGAAGGGCAACATCTTCCTGTGTGACTACAAACTTTTGGATGGAATCCAAACAAACACCATCAACGAGAAAAAACAGTACTTGATGGCCCCTCTTGTCCTACTCTGGAAAACTGATGGTAAATTGAAACCAATTGCTATTCAGGTGAGTTTAGCTACAAGTTGATCTACAGAATTTTCCTTCATATTAAGATACAAAACATCTCCCTTCTGAATATAAGCACAATGATGCTTGTGGTACTTTAATTGCTTGTGTTTACACCTAGCGTGAGTTTTGTATTCGAAGCAAAATGAACCACAGGCTGGCCTCCTCCATAATGTTGTTCTGTTGTATGTTCTCTGTGTCATGTATGTTTATCAGCTAAAAAGGCAGGGCATATACTGCATACCCTAGTACCAGTGAAATGACCACAAGCTTCACTTAGTCGTGATGAAGTTGTCATTATCATGAACCGTGTTGTTCAAGTTACTTGGAAAAAGTAATTAGTTACTTATTACTGATTACTTCTCCAAAAAAGTAATCCTGTTACATTAGTGATTACTTATTTTAAAAAGTAATTAGTTGCTTATTACTTTGTTGCTTTTTCAAAACATGATGCACAACCTGAATATGTAATAAAGCAATAGACCTTTCAGCCCAATTCTATTTCTCCTGCAAAATCCATCATATAAAATGCACTCAAATGGAAAAGTTTAATTTAATTTAAATCTATTTCCAGCATAAAAACTCTTTCAAATAAATGCAAGTAAAACACAGCAATAAATAAATAAAATCAAAGCTTCAGCGGCACTAAGTCCTGTCACTCTTAAATCTGTTTTCACCTGTTTAGCAGGAGTGGGGCGGGTGGAGGTTTGCCCGTTGCCACAGCGGTCATGTCAGTGGGGGGATCCAGGGGTTTGTCTGTGAATTTCACGTTCCCATGGCAGCGTGCTCGCTGCTCGCTCAGATTTGAAGTTTAATTTTTCGCTGTAGAAAGAAGTTTTCTTCCCACGCAGAGTGTACAGCAGATGTTAATGTTTGTGTCACTTTTTACGGAATAAAACTTGAAGTGAGCACTTCCACGCTTTAAACGCTGCATGGTCGTACTCTCTCCTGCACTCCATATTATCCAGTGTTGATTTGCACATGTCCATTGCTGCCACGGACGTCACACGCTTATACGTCATTGTCGCGAGACACTCTCACAAACAATATCATGGTTTAGCAATGCAGTAACGCAGTAACGCAGCATGCTTACGGGAAAGTAACAGTAATCAAATTACTTTTTTGCAATTCTAATCCCTTACATTACTCGTTACTTGAAAAAAGTAATTGGATTACAGTTTTTTCCCATCTCTGGTCAGGAACATGCTGTGTTACTAAATTACAGTCATCTGGTTAACTGCCTAGATCATGGTTGTTACTGGAGAAAGGAAATGTTAGTTATACATATTTGCATTGTGCCATTACATAATTTACTGATGGATTAGAAACCAGTACCATTTCACAGTATACACAAGTTAGCTGGGGAAGAAATTTGGCAATCTAACAACAAATGAGAATTTCACCCATATATGACCTGATAAAAATAATGTTACTGTGCAAGGAAAGTATGATTAGGCAGTTAGAGTTGTAAAGTTAGGTCTGTGGCACAAATTTCGCCATGGTTAGTTCATGATATTTGGAAACAGCCAGAAAACTTACCGGGTCTGTCAAGAAAACTGGGTGGAGTGGACTCAAAGTCAGGATTCAGAGCGTTCAAGTTTAGTGCCTTTATTTACAGCATAAACACTAGAGTGGTATATGCACTTAGTGATAGGTAGCATGTATTGACTCTCAGCCACCACCTTAAGTAGTGACTTCCTGATGAGATCATCTGTGACAGGGGGTTGATTTCTACTGGTGCATGAAGCCAGAGGGAGGAGCTCTCGTTGAGTTCCACCCACAAACAGACACACAAGCACGGAGAAAGGAGAGAGACAGACAGAGATAAAACAAAGCCTGTAACAAGCAGCTCAGGGGACTGAGGGACTGTGACAGGGTCCTCTGTTCCCACTATATTCCAATTGCTTCCTCAAAGAAAGAACATGCACTGTAGGCATGTTTTTCTTTTCTTTCTTCCAGACAACATTTTACTCACCATGCTAGCACTCATGTCATGCACTTCAACACTACTTATTTACCGGCTTATTCTCTTTTGCCGACTTTCCCCTGTTCATATCAGATACAGTTTTGGATGTAAAGGTGTAATGTCTCATTATTTGTCACTGTTGTTGATACTCTCATGACAAGAGACAAACATGCATCAGTTACAAGCCTACAATAAATAAGGAATATTTACAAAGGAGGCTTGATGGTTATTGATCAATACTGGTACTAAATCAAATGCATGGATACACATTTGTTTCTTCTCCTGCAGCTGAAGCAGAAACCAGCAGAAGACAACCCCATCTTTTTTCCTACTGATTCTGAGCACGACTGGTTGTTGGCTAAGATCTTTGTGAGAAGTGCAGATTTTAACCTGTATGAACTTAATGCTCACCTGCTCCGCACTCACCTGCTGGCTGAGGTTTTTACACTCTCCCTACTGCGCAACCTGCCCATGGTGCATCCTCTCTACAAGGTAAATCTTTATGTTTAAGACATATGTCAATTTCTTTTGGGGTAAGATAGTAGAAAGTATCCTTACTTGTGACCTTGACATCATCGTTTTAACTTATTTCTCTTTAAAGAATGTTTGCACAAAATCAGAACATATGAATATAAAACATGAGGGAAGAAAAAAAGGTTTTACTCGTGACTTTCCTTCTTTCTGTCAGCTTCTCAAGCCTCACACCCGTTACACTCTTCACATCAACTCCTTAGCTCGGACGCACCTTATAAATAAGGATGGAATTTTCACTAAGGTATGATAAAACAAACAAACATAAACATGTTTTTCAGTGCCACATAAAGTATTTATTTCTCACTGAGATTTGACTGTTGTGTAGTTTGCAGCTTCAGGTGGAGAGGGTGCCTTCACAATCCTGCAGAGATCGCTGGCCTCACTGACCTACAGCTCACTCTGCATCCCAGATGATATTTCAATGCGTGGCCTGAAATCTGTGCCAAACTTCTACTACAGGGATGATGGACTCAGGCTTTGGAGAATCATACATAGGTTCTATTACCACTCTGTCTGAAAAAAACATATGAAAAACTGTAAAATAACTTTATTCCTGCACACCACACACACACACACACACACACACACACACACACACACTGATAAATAAGTCTTTGTAATTTTGGTCAACTCTAGAAAACCAATCACATTATTTGCTGAATTTGATTCTCTTATGTCACTCCAAAGTTAATTTTATGCTGTTGCTACAGGTAATAGTGGGGAAAAAAAACTATTTTGCATTATTATTATGATCATTATTTTATTGATTATCCAGTAGATCTGAGATGCTCCTTTTGTTTGATTGTTTACACACAAACCGTCAATAATGAGAGAATAATTTTTGTTAAAGCTTACCTTTTCCTGTTCCCTGTTTTCCACTATGTCTGTCATGTATAGAAAAAGTCATTAAAAAAAGAACTACAAAATAAAGAACTAATAATATATAACTAGAATGCAGCCATGAGCGTGACTGACTGCATGTTTTCATTTATCAAAGGTTTGTCTTGGGAGTGCTGGGCCACTACTACAAATCTGATGCTGAGGTCCAGAAAGACTCTGAAGTGAATAAATGGATTTATGATATTTACGAACATGGATTCCTTTCCAAAGAAGAGACAGGTGATCTTTCAATAAAGTATCACACTTCATAATGATAATATAGATGCTGCATCTTATCAGAATGCAACTGAAATGTATTCCCCTGGGTGTACGTTGATGTAATAGAGTTTTTTCACTATGATCAACAGGAATTCCACAGAAATTCAACACTGTGGACGAGATGGTCAAGTTTGTCACCATGGTGATCTTCACTTGCTCAGCCCAGCACTCAGCTGTCAACACTGGACAGGTGAAGTCTTCTAATTTACTATGATTATCAGTGGTGGTGTTTGATCACATTCTACAATTTCCTTGTCCTGCATTCATGGATGAATCCTGGACAGATAAATTCCACTAAACTTTGATGCTTGTCAGGTAGTTTATACAAGCCCATTAGCAGCTAACAAATGATGATCTCACTATTCAGGATTTTTTTAATGAATTCCTTTTGTTTGACAATGATTTATGTTTTGCTCCATGCTTTCGTCTTGTGTGTTTTTATAGCTTTAGTCTCTCCCTTGTCAAAGTGTCTGTCTGTCTTTCTGATCAAATGAAGGTCAGTTTTTATATTAGCCTATTTTTCCAAAGTCCTTCCATTCAAGTTTTATTCCTGCTCATCCTTTACATAAAGATAGTATCACTCTGATTCCTTTGGCAAAAATCCAGTGGGGTTTTTGTCTTTGGATTACTGCACAACATAACATATATTTGGAAAATGACATTTTATTACATTTGAGTATTTTGTTAAACATCCTTCTGTTTAAGAGTGGCCTTATAAACTGACATGAAAAGAAATAAAATGGTAATAAACATCAACAAACTAAAGAACTTCAGATACTTTAGATATGTTTATACTCTGAGATGTGCAAAAGCTTTGGTTGTTGTTATCGTTTATGTTAAGCACATCAAGTTTATGGGTAATTTGACATGGATGGGTGTGTGTGTGTGTGTAGTCTGGGGCTTGCCGAAGCTTGGTATCTGTAGGACAGGGTCATAGAAGTATGTTTCAATGTTTCAATAAAGCTGATACTGACATTGAAATGGTAACATAAAATGAGAAGTCAGTGGATTATGAAGTTACTTCATCAAGCGCAGTATAATGTCTGTATAATGTTTTATAGCATAGTATTTGAAATGTTTCTCTCTAAACGAAAGACTGACTGATTTTACCATCCCTAGATCAAAAACACAGAAAAATGTGCTGTGTTAAAATCAAGGTTACTAAACTCATACTGTAATACTCCTAATATTAATTTCTGTGAATGACCTATCCAATATTTTATCAATGCAGTATGACTTTGGTGCCTGGATGCCCAACTATCCTACCACCATGCAGCTTCCCCCACCAACCACAAAGGGGGAAGCCAACGAAAACACAATGCTGGAAAAATTCCCCGAGGTTAACACAACAGTTCATGGCATGGGTACCATGTGGCTACTGAGCAAGTCATCAGCTGACTGCGTAAGTGCTCTGATAAGACTTCAAAACTGAGAACATACAATATAAGCTATGTCATTTTGTGAAACATAGATTAGACAGTACAGCATAAATTATCTCCTATAATGATCACCCCGTGGTCAAATTATGCTATTTTATGTTAAAAGTCTATGTTTGATCACTATTAACAGCTATGTAGAGCACTGTTTGTCCAAGACAAATCTCCCACGTAGTAAATTAGTTTATTATAGTCTATTAAAATAACTAAATGTTTCTCTTATCAATCTCATCAGGTCTTTCTTGGCAACTACCCTGAAGAGCACTTCACTGAGGAGGTTCCTCTCAAGAAGATAAAACAATTTCAAGAAGACCTGGGAAAACTGAGTGCAGACATTGAAGACCGAAACAAGAGACTGGACCTGCCGTACACATACCTGGATCCAAAGTTCATTGAAAACAGCGTGTCCATCTGAATATTAGAGGGCATCTTACCCTCCTTCAGCTTCATATTAATCAAAAAGAAAAGTAGGGTATAGTGAAAGAAAAATAAAAACTATTTCTTAGCTTATCAATGAACAGGGAAATTAAAAATAGATGTGACTAAGATGTTTTTTTTATGAACAGGGTCTTTGCAGTCATGTTTTCTTTTCTTTTGTTTTGACACATGAATTAATTCTTTTTTTTTAAAAAATACTATTGCTGTGGGTGTGTTTAATATTTAGAAAATGGGCCAGAGGGATAAGTGTGTAACTGATTCTATATGTCTTGATGCATGCTCAATCATCCAGATAAGGAAAACCCAAAAAGTTCATTCTGTTTATCTGGATGTATTGTTTTCAGTGGGAGAAACTGATTCTATATATTTAGCTTTTGTTTTATGTAATATTTAACTTCAGATTAACTAACAGGAAAACTATACAAATTGTTATGAAGCTTCCACATTGAGGTTTTTAAGAATGGGATTCTTCTCTGCAGTCTTCTGGATTTCTAATTTTTATTTGTTATTTTTTTTCTTTCCACTAGAATTATTTTCCACTTTTTTGGCATTGTGCTGCATGTTTAGTTTACACTGATAAATGAATTCATCTACGTTGATGTGGAATCCATACCAAATATTGACATACTTTTAAACAAGATTCACAAAGCGAAATGGAGACAATAGCATACCCCTCAAATATATTGTTTCATTTAATAATCTCTGAAATTATGTGATGAGGACAAAATACTGTGTAACTGCCACATTATGATCACATGATTTTAACATTAAACTCAAAGGTTAAAGCACTGTTTTCATTCTGTGTGACTTCATAAATCACTTTCTGACAGTTCTTCTTTTTTTTCTAATAGTTGATTATTGAGCAATAAATGGTGCTAGTTTCATCTCTGTCTGTGTCGTCCCCCCCCGGTCTGGCAGGTTTCACCTCTCAGGGAGAGGTACGATCCTAAATCCGGCATCTGTGTAATAAAATTAAGAGGCACATATCATAAGCTTTTTTCCAGCTTTGATTGCAGGATTTATCCTCCTTCCTCAACAAAGAAACAAACTCATCAGTTTCGTCACTAATCCAGGTGACTTCTTCAGTCTCAGCTGACTGCAGGTTTCCTCAACCTTATAAACAGTACATTTGCATAATGACTGCATTGAATTGAATTGAATATTGTTCAGGAATTTCACAAATTTGTTTAAGTCTAATGTGGCTTACAGGTAAACTTTTTTTCTGGAGGTGGATAGGATGAAAACTTCCAGCATGACACAATGTTTTCCAATCAGCAGCTTTGCAGTAAAGAGAAGATTTGCCTTTTTTGGTTACTTTTATGTCAAGAAAGTTAACTTCTTCAGTGCTGTGATCAGGAATAACACGTAAACCCGCACAGTGTCCTTGTAAAAAGTTCTACAAACTCTGTAGACTCTACAAACTCTACAGAAGAGTGGCAACTGAGGTGGCAAAAGTGCAGGCATGTTTTACTTAAGTAGAAGTATAGCTGCTAGTGTCAAAAATACTTGAGTAAAAGTTTGATAAAGTATGGGCTCAGAAATGTGCTCAAAGCAAGAAAGTCAAAGTAGTAACCTAACTGAACCTTGTGCTATAATAAAATAATATTAGCAGATAGGACTACAAACTTAGTCTGGTGGTAAAAACACAAGGGACTCACATTTGACAGCCTGCGGGATGGAGGTTGGGGCTAACAACACGGTCTGGTAAAAGAGTCTAACATACATGTTTTTCATGGTGTTGCAGCAGATAAAGAGCCATGAACTACTCCCCTTGTTTATGGGGATTGCCAGTTTGTTGGGTTTTTTTAGAGACACAGAGAGTGAGAGAGATCATGTTCTACATTACTTTCAAAAAAGGGATTTTAGGAGCTGATAATATATGAAGCAGTGTTCTTAGAAACTTGGAATATCCTGGCTTTTGGCATTGAGTTTTAAATTGTGACAGTTTCAATAAAGCCTGCAAATTCTTGCATTTGTACTGGAGAGCAAAGAAAAATTAGACGCTATTTGTACTGTTGAAATTCAGTTTCATAAACAACACGTAAACAGACATGAAGAAGAATGTATTTGTAAAACTAATGGTAATGTGTGAGAACTATAAGACAGACTGTTTATGCTAGTTGTTAGGGAAAATATTCTAAAACACTTCTTCAGTAAAGACTCAGAGAAGAGAAACACGCAGAACTTCTTGCTAGCAAGGGCAGCTCCCTACTGAGAGACTCCAGTGAGAAACTGCCCTGGTCTTTATTT